TTACAAAAGATAAACTTGCCCCTGGGTCTGGCAAAGCATAAACATCAAAAGTAAAGACTTTGATCATACCAGTAACAACATTTGGGGAGTTCTCTTGCTCTTGACGACTGGTGATTGCATAAAGACAGTTTGTTCCTCCGCCAGTACCAGAAGTAGCTCCTCTAGGTGCAGCCCTGTCCGGTGGAGCAACTGAAGTAGATTGGGCTCTATTTCCCCCATTTCCCTGCCTATTTTTTGGACACTCTCGCATGAAATGTCCACTCTGACCACACTTGAAACAACCAGTGGAGCCTTCACGACAAATACCTGAATGGTTCCTACCACACTTGGCGCAGGCAGGAGGCTTACTACCCCCTTTCGCCACACTACCCTGTGAATAGGTAGGTTTAACTCTGGAATTCTAACCATAGTACTCATTCTTGTTCTTAGGTGCAGGTGCACTAGCAGATGATGGAGGAGGTCCCTTCTGTTTCTGTTGGAAAGACGACCGGTTTGCATACTCTTCTGCTGCCCGGACTCATTCCCTATCTTAGCTCTCTTGTTCTTGAACTCTTCTCTATCCCTCAGCTTCTCTTCCTCTACCTGCTGTACATAGACCATCAACCTCAAGATGTCCATGTCCCCAATAAGCATTGCTGCCCGGCCTTCCTTGCTTGACAAGTGACCCAAACCAGCAACAAACAAACTCATCTTACTCCTCATGTCCGCAACCATTTCAGTAGCATAGTGAGACAGTTGGGTGAACTTCAACCCATACTCATGCACACTTAAAGAGTCTTGCTTTAGTGTGAGAAACTCACGTACCTTATCCTCTTTCAATTCTCGGGGAAAGAATCGCCCCAAAAAGGACTCTTCAAAACATGCCCAACTCGCAGGTGGTGCATTCTCAGCTCTACCCTATTTCCATTGTACCAACCAAGTCCTAGCAACATTCTTCATCTGATATGCAGCTAGCTCAACTCTCGCAGTATCAACAACATGCATCACATCGAGCACCTTTTTCAGTTCCTCAATGAAATTATGTGGGTCCTCTGCGGTGCTCGAACCAGTGAAACTTGGGGGATTCATCCTCAAGAACTCACGAATCCTTGAAGTGTCAGCCTCTTCTTGCCGAGCTCCTCTATGCTGCCCAACCTGATTGGTCACAACTTGGCTAAGCATCCTTATAGCCTCTCTAAATTCAGCATTAGAGTCCTCTCCTTGCGGTTGCTCTTCAGGTGCATTAGGTAACTCTTGCTCTTCAACATTCCTCCTAGCTAGACGACCTCTGACTACTCTTCGTGGAGGCATGGTTATCTGAAAACACGTGCAAGCACGAATTAGATGGAAACTTTTCAGAGATAAACTCTAACGCACGAAAAGAGTATGAAAGAAGTGATATAGTTCCTAAATATTGTAGCCTCCTAATTATAGATGTGGCGCGCTTCACACCGATAACTAGGACTCTACAGACACGGCTTCATAGACTCCCTAGGACTCTTGAACTCTGTGCTCTGATACCAAGTTTGTCATGCCCAAAGCCTACACCCCGTACGTGGCTGGCACTCGAGAATCATTACTGGCCCCAAGCGAACCCTTGGCCTGACTTACTTACTCAGCGGAAGACTTAAACACGTACAATTTCGTAGCAAAGTTTTGTCTAGTAAAGTTTCCCACCAAAAAATAATTTGGCGCCATTTATTAAGTACAACTAGTGACAAATTTTAATTCATCAATGACACATTATTTTGTCGCTAATAATGTGTCCATTTTGTGACAAAATGTTATTTGTCATAAAATTAGTTACAATTTTGGACACGAAAAAATTTCTTCACAAAATATAAGTTGGTGCAATAGCGACAAAATAGAGTTCGTAGTTGAATGTTGTAAGCTTTTAGCCACAAAATCATATATTTAATAGTGACCTTGGTTTTCGTCTCTAATAATATAAGCAATTAGTGACGATTATTTTATTGTCTCTAATTAACCTGTGACTTAGTGACAACATAATTTTGTCACAAAATATACAATGTTTAAATAGTGACAATTTAAATTTTCTAGTTGAATAATTTAACCATTTATCACAATATTTTAAAATTTAAATATAAAAATAACATTTGGCTACGCTCGAGTGCAGATCTATAGGGTAGTGAGAGAGTTCACCAGCAGGGGTGGACCCACATGGGTTCCAGGGGGTTCACCTGAACCCCCTCTGAAAAAAAATTACACGGTATATATAAGGTAAAATTTCTATATTTATGTAGATATATATATTTTGAACCCCTTCATTGACAAAGAGAAACTGATAGCCTAGTGGTAGGTCTCCTTGAAATTAAGCTACACGTCAAGGGTTCGATTCCCTCTGTTAGCGTTTTACTTTTAGTTTCAATTTTTTTTTTGAATTTAGAGAAGCCTGGAAGTTGAAGAGAACGATTAGGAAAAATTCAATATTCTATCTTTTCTTGTTTGCAATGTAATTAGTAAGCTCGAAGAAGCATATGTTTTTCTCGTAGTATAGGAAAATGTATCTTTTTATTTTTGCGATGTATGGATTTGATACGTAATGTATGTTTGGTTTCAATTTGTTGAGAAGTTGGCTTGAAATTTTTGATATTATATGTGTTGATGGTGCAAAACTACATCAGATTTGTACTAGAACGAACAACACTAAAATTTTAGTAAACCTTTACCAAAACCGCAGCAGAGCACCAACAATGCATCAAAATAGCTCCAAAAGTTCATCAAAATAACATTAGAATTGCACCTAAATAGTATTGACAATGAACCAAAATAGCTGGACGAAATTCACACTAATACAACACTATGGTTGCACCAACATAGCAGCAAAAAAGATCCAAAATTACACCAGAAAAGTATCAAAACAACATTTGAATTACACCAAAACAGCAGCATCACAATAGCCTCTAAATCAGCATTAAACTTGCATCAACACCACCACCAGAAAGCACTAGAACTGCACCAAAAACAACAACAGAAAATCACCGTAACAACAACAAAACAGCTCCAAAACTGCACGAGAAAAGCTCCAAAAACAGACTCCAAAATTGCACCAAAAAAGCAGCACCATATTCGCACTAAAACAACAAAAAAATTGCACCAAACCTTTTGGACTTGCTCGTTAACTTCTACTGCTTCCAGAACGCTGCTTACCCACCTGCATCATGTGACCTCATAGCATCAAGTAGATCAAATTTAAGCGTAACTGACAAATACATAACGGAAAGTGGAAACCAATATATAGTCCCTGCCTCCTAGATATCTCACTACATCCCTAAAAGAGTCAGCAGGAGAGGTAATACTCCCATGGGTCAATGAGCATATCAGCATATGGTCTTTGCCCCAATTGAGAACCGGGTTCTATCACAAGTACTCATATTAGCAGTTAGGAAAAAGCCAAGAACCTGACACTTAAAATCTGGTGCTTGACAAGAAAGATTATCCACCACATTCTGCATGATCATTCACCAAGCCACTCAACCCTAGCTCCTAAATGCTTAAGCTTTCTCAATGGAATAACTTACAGTACTAACATTTGACTTAAATTTAGTCTGATTTTTATTTGATATAGTTGTAGAAGGATGAAACACAAATATTCAAATTAAACTTGTACTTGCCAAGTCACTGAGCAATTGAGTGTTTATACAGACATCTAGTCAAAATTAGGAAAGACATAACTACAAATAAATAATATCTATGTAATTGATTCTATCTAATATACACAATATTCTCAAAGAGAGTCAAGCAAGGAGAATAATAGTCTCTTGTAAAGTTACTTAATACAATGTTATCCTTCACTAAAAGCTACTTACTAAAATATTACCTTAAAAAATAGTAGCAGTAGTAGTAGTAATTACCAACAACATACCGAGTGTATTCCCACAAGTGGGGTCTGGGAGGGTGGTGTGCACGCAGCCTTACCACTACCTTGTGAAGGTAGAGGGATTGCTCCCAATAGACCATTTACTCAAATAAAGCATATCAAAACCAATGAGGAAAGGAAATGCCATAGTGAAGTAACCATATCGGTAGCAACAACAAACAGTACAATAACCGAAGCAAAAAAACAAACATGTAATGATAAAATCGAAGCATCAGAAGTAGTAATTACCAATTCAATAAAGTACTATGGAAAATTATGAGCCACTATTAAGACACAAGAAAAATGTGGTAAATAGGTAAGAAAAGAAAAGGATGGGTGTCTTAGAACTTCTGTAGAGTTTTGAAGGTGAGCTTTTGAAAGAAGTGTCTCATTTAACATTGAGCTCCATAATATTGAAAAGGTTGAACAAATAATATTGTGAATGGTTATAGGAAGGTTAAAATTTCTAAGAGATAACCCTATGCAGCAGAGAGCTAAGTCTTATGAATGGTATCTGGGATGATTCTCACTGGTTTATTGTATAATTTAGATAGAAAACTACATAGGTTAGAAGGGACAAACAAAGAATATATGATCCCTATTCCCTATATATGACTTCTGAAGAAAGAAAATATAAAGACAAGCACCAGAATGAAGTATAGTTTCCCATTTGATGCTTTATACTCTTCTCACAGCCAACTCCTTCCATATGACAGTGAATAGTTACTTCACAGCAAAAGAGATCATACCAACTACATGAGGCAAACATAGATGATAAAATAGCAGTTTATGTATTGGAAGTAGCACTTTTCTTCTTGCAGAACAGAGTCAAAGTAACTTATAATATTAGGGACAACCAGAAAGGAAGAAAAGTCAATCAAAAAAACAGAATAAGAGACTTAGATCAACAAGTTACCCTTCAAGACCAGGACTTGTTGGATAGTATATATTTCTGAACCCAAGTTTTTTAGCTGCAGAAGCTGTTGTCTCCCCAATACATGCAACAGCATTGTCCCACTGTCTCGATGCAGTAAGATTAGCCCATACCCTGTCAAATAACCCAGCAGAAGGAAAAAGGAATGAGAAAGGAGAAAGAGAATAAAGCCTCTAAATGAACCATACCCTGTTCCCTGGCTCAATGAACTATGTCCGGAAACATCTGTCTAATATTTTCTAGCATGTTGGTGGAATTACAGTTATCCGCTATAGAATTAGTGCACTTGCTTATGCCAATAATAGATATCAACGTGTCATCTGTCTACTTTTGCTATAAAAATGAATATTTGGAACATTGTACCTGAGGGCAGAAGAAGATGCTACAGCAACAACAGGAGCAGAGAGTGCTAGTTCAAGAAGATATTGATCAACGTGATTGACTGGTGCCTGCAAGAAATGGAAAGGTTATACGCAGTAGAATGAAATCTAATTAGTTCCATCTCAAGAGAAGGATCCAAGATGTGGTGCTCTATCTAAACTTTGACCATATGTCAGGAAAAGATGACAAGTGGCCCTCTTTTTCAGGGCAAGTGCGTGTTACCAAATTTGCAAGCACACTGGTCTCATGTGAGTAAAAATGAATTTTCTTCTCCAATTGGGCAATGGAGAAATATCATACCGTTGTGTAAGTGTTCAGCCGAGTAACCTCGAATCCCCGCCCAGAAAGTCCTTCCTCTGAAATAAAGGAGCCATATGTCAGTTTAAAACTACTCAAAGTACTTCTGTATTCCGAGGAAAATTTGCATACTAAACATAAACTATCAAGCTGAGACAGTTGCAAAATATCGGATGAATGAGACTCTTGTACAGATTATGGCCATGAGGAAAGGGAATGGGCTGTGATTTTTGGGGTTAATATGTTTCTTTTGTTCTTCCTTTTTAATTTTTTTCTTGAATAACGGTTTACAATAGAAAAAGGCACCTCTGCAGAAACTATAGATCCCTACAGAACCAGAAAAATCAGAACGAGAATGCATGGAAAAAGAGATTTCTGTATGAAATCAGGTTGATGGGAGAATTAGGCGAGACAGAAACATAAAGAGATGGAGCAATATGCACACACCGATGTCAGTGCTGGCTTTTGCTGAAGCAGGATAGAGAACAGTGCACTTGTCATTCCCATTCTTCGGAAGCTCTAAAGCTAAAACCTTGCCAGTTGCTGAAAATGCAAATAGAATGAAATTTTCAGTCAGTCAGGCAAAAACATAACATCAGTCAATTTTTTACTGCAGAACAGTTTGCAAGGAAAAAAATGTATTTAAATGAATGACAAATGCAAGTGTCATCCCTGATGCACATGTGTGTGCCTTATGCTATTTCTAAATGTCAAAAGAGCAAGTGGGAAGTTTACTCAATACCCTTTGATGGTGCAAATGCCACATCAAGATACTGCTTTGAAGACTGAACAGCTTCATCAAATATGCTGGCTGTACCAGATCCAACAACTCACATAACTGTGAGGAGAACTTCAAGATTTGGAGACCAACTTCAAAAATAAATTTCCATCAATACGAAAGGTTTTTGATGTTGATGAGAAATCGAGTAACAATAAGAAGAGCAGGGGAGCGATTCCAAATGAACACTGTTGTTGGATTCAAGAAATTATTTCTCAGGTTATTTCTGGTGCAATTCGAGTGACTCCAACAACTGGAGAGGAAATAGCACACTTTAATCTAGCTATGCTCAAAGAATCAAGTCATTCCACCGTGCCAATATCCAGTTCTAGAGATGCCAATAGTAATAATGTTTACAGTCCTAGATCACCTCAGAGTCATAAGGATGCGAAGCAGCAAAATTCACAACACTTGCAGGCAGGTATGAATTCAGAAATAAATTCTCAAAAGCCCACAAATTGTAATGTTGATCCTGAAGTCCAGGAATGATCTGATTTCTCTAATTGAAAGTTGTAAACAGAACATGAGGGTCATTCAAGTTAACTGGTTTAAACCTCTTCCATCCATTGATAAATTAAATACTCATGGGAGCGCTTTGGAGAACCCAGGAAAGATTGGGGCTGGTGGTATTCTTAGAGATCACAAATGTGACTTGATGAAAGCAAACAATCCAGACCACACCCAAAATTTAAAACATAGAGAAAACTCCAATAGAAGTCTAATGAAACAGAGGAAACAGTCAAACGAGTGCGAGCAAAAGTTTGAAATTATTTTTTTAGCCAGACTCTAGCGAGGAAGAAGAAGAAGGAGATGATGAGGAACAAGAATAATAGAATACATACCTGGAAGAAGAAGGAGAGACGCACTAGTCGTAGTCAATGAAAGGTAAGCCCCTACAGTTATGAAGTTACATCAAAAAAATCAATGTCATCTTCATCATCTGTGTCACCATCTTCATCTTTATCAATACTTGTAGTGCCTTCAGTTCTATCAAGATCACTTATGTACTCAATTATATTGTCGTCCTCTAGGTCAGAATCTGCGGTATTGTAACCAACTTCATGTTCTGTTTGAACCTTCAATTCAAATGCACTTGAATCCAAGGTAATTGAATCAACATCATCTCTATGTAATTGGATCGGCATATCCTCAATAGAAACATCTATCATGTTACTTTCCATTGACACGTCTTGATACACTTCATCAGTAGTGTGTAATTCATCACTTTCCACCTTTGAATTTTGCATCTCTAGCACATCATATATATGTCTATCTTGAAATTTTTGCACAATTCGCCAATTTTTTCCTAATTTCGGATCACAAATATAAAATACTTGCTTTGCTTGAGTAGCTAGTACAAAAGAATCATGTTCATACCAAAATCTATTTACATTTATACTGGTAAAATTTTTATCTTTCTGCATCCCAGTTTTTTTACGAAGATCAAACCACTTGCATTTAAATAGAACAACTCGATTGCCTTCTATATACTCTAACTCAATAATGTCAACTATAATACCATAAAAGTCAATCACTTCATTTTCATGATAGCCTTCAACAACTATGCCACTATTTTGACTTTTACGTAATTCATCACGACTTTGAATATGGTACCTAACACCATTAACAATACAACCAGGATATCTCCTTCCTCGAACATCAGGTCCCATTGCCAAAGGATATAACTTCTTGATAGACATTGAATTCTCCTTATTACACAAATGCATAATCTACGATGAAAAATTATTACATTCAATTAGTAAAGAAGAAAAAGTTAAACTTAAACACAACACAATTGTCATTTTAAAAATCACTTACTTTCCCTTTGAACCATAAAGAAAAATGTTCTCTATGTTTCTCTTCTATATTCACAACATCTTGGTTTAACAACTCATTTTTGTGTTCCCTACATAGGAAAAATGAATTTATGAGTAATTTAAAATAACAGAAAACCAATATAGATAAATAGGAAAACTTACTGTAGAAAAGGCTCTGCTTCTTCACAATTATTTAACACATACCACTGAGCCATATCAAAATCTTTCTTCGGTATTGCATCATATTCTCCTTTAAATGGTCTAACACTTTCAGAAAATATGTCCAGAACATGTTCCTCTTTGTTGCTAGATCCATCAACATTTCGATCTTCACGATTAAATCTAGTCTCAATGTTAGTAAGATACATAGAGCAAAATGTCAAACATTCATCAATAATATAACCTTCTGCAATAGAACCTTCTGGTCGCGCCTTGTTTCGCACATAACGCTTAAGCTTACACAAAAATCTCTCAATTTTGTACATCCAACGATACTGTACTGGTCCCCCATACATAGCTTCTCGTGGTAAATGTACAGCCAAATGTACCATAATATCAAAAAAAGCAGGTGGAAAGATCATCTCAAGCTTACATAATATAATAACTATATCCCTTTCAAGTTGTTCTAAGTCATCT